GGCAAAGAAAAAAAAATAGTTCCAAAAATATAACGACAGATAGCGCTGTCAAGATAATGTCAGGGGAAAGACATAAATGGATTCCTTAAACACAGGAATGTTGTTACCCAAAAGGAAACTATAGACTCCAAGGGTTTACGACAAATTTTTGGACAAAAGGACAAGAAGGTTTTTACAGCGAAAACAGTGGCAATAGGTGTTTACAGCGTAAACAGTGTACAATAGGTGTTTACAGCGAAAACAGTGATAGTGACAAAAGAAAAAGAGGAATTTCATGAAACAACACCCTAGGGATAATGAACGCATAAGTTGTTCAATATGCCATTTGCCTTGTTCCGCTACTAGTTAGAAGAGCAAAATGGCATGTTCCGCAACAGATCGGAGGGTATCTGTGCTGATGCTATGAATATGATGCTTCAAGTCAGCCAGATTCGCAATTCGCCCGCTATGAACAACATTCTTAAAGTGTCCCCCAAAGCCAAAAACCACACGCACGCTGTTCGAAAATGGCAGCTTATGATTCTCCGAAATGAGCAATCAGCAGCTGCATCACAAGAGTAGCAATATACCGTGGAGCGCCATCTTGCATAAATATTGTGCAATCCACACACTAACGCTGCTGAAATGCTGGTAGGACATGATTACGCAAAAGTACTTCATACCGCTTGCAAGTAAAGGGTGCCGCAAATGTGATCTCCTCGAAGAAGAACGGACCGAAGACAAAGGCTGCCGTTATTCTGCACCACAAAGTGACCTTTTCAGACTGAAGAAATAATAGCTGTAGCGGGAACGGAGTCTCAGTCGCCCATATCCTGCAATTTTTCGTACAGAACTTTGCAAATGGAAATGGGCTTCGTCAAACCACCGAATGTTCTATAGCCATCCATTTTCTACGTCCATCCGGGCAAGAAATCGTAGTGCAGACAATTCACGTGTTTCCAGGTCAGCAGGTTATCTTGTACGGATAACAGCGCAAGATGTTCCGTACCGTGCTGATCGGAATATTCAACCATAGGCAATTAATTTCCCATGCACTGCTTTGCATCAGTGTTCGCCTGTTCTTGTAACGCTGTGACCACATCTTTTACTGCCGCCGCCGAAACTGGTTTTCATCCTCTACCTCCTTTTATGTCAAATGAGCCGATGTCTCCGAATTTATCTATAATTTTATGCAGGCCATATGTAGCCAATGGTCCGGATTTTACGCCTTTTAATGTCCGGAACTTCATGATAGCTATTAACGCATAGGACCGTTCAGATAGAAAAGTTTCACTAGCAGGGCGCGGTTCTTTGTCAGAGTCATGATGAAGCACTCAGACAAAGCGTTATGTTTCTCACTAGTGCATTGCATTTTTATCACATCTGTCTGCGGTGCGCACGCCACGTCTTATTCATTCGCATGCCTCCACAACAGAAATGGGAACCCTGACAGCGACATCTATCGGCACATTTTGGAACTATTCTCCTTCGCCAAACAAAATTCCATTGCCTCACGATTGTTCTGGAAAGCTGTCAAGTCATTCTAACAGGTAGCTTTAAAGTTAGAGCGTTTCGAAATCGCCAAGTTTAATTATAATCACCATGTATCTAACGGAAATGATAATATTTATATTCATTGTGATACAGTAAAAATAGCTTATGTAAATGGAAAATCCACTGAAATGATTAATTTATTTAATTACATAAGTTCACTACTTAGTATGATTTCGAAAACATTTGATAAACCGATATTGTTTTCCCTTAAATTAGATAAAATTAGAAGTATTCATGTGTGGGTAATAATCAAAATAATGACTTCATTGATTTAAGAAGATTAATTAAGAAGCTGAATATAATTTTATTGTTAAAAAAGACAAAAATTATTTGGAAAAAAAATTCTGATCACCTAATTTTTAACATAAATAAATAAATGAATATTTATAGATTATATACAAAAAGTAAACAATTTGAAGGAAGAAGAATTTTTACAGATTCTGAAACTTTGCTGTCTTAGAGTAAAGCCTCGGAAGCGTCAGCTTAATTGTTTGAGAGTAAAGCTCTTGCTTTTGACAAACAAGCCATACGTGATAAATTGAATGAAATACTTCCAATGAAAGGAAAAGATTAAAAAATTATACATAAATAAATGGAAAAGATTTATGACTTAACAGATAAGAAACACCATCATAATGAAGAAACTGAAAGCGAAGAAATTTTAGAATATAGTAAAGATGAAAATACAATAGATCAGAGTGAAAATGCTACTTATAATTTTACTATAAAAGGAAAAAAAAAATTTAAAAAGATAAAAATCTGAAGGGTTTCAGATTTTAAATTACGTCCAGAGGGGCGTTTTTTTAAACATTTTGTCTGTTACCTTTATTTATTAAATATCACGTTCTTCGCACTTAAACTACAAAATTCAGCGCAAGAGCAATATCGTAAAATAGTTTTAAATTGAGCATATCTTTAGAATTTCCAATACGAAGCCTTGCGCGCTGGAGATAAAAATGTTTCTTCTGTACAACGTTGCCATTGCTCGCTTTGAAATCCTTGAGTTTGTTAATCAAAATTGCGTTAAAGATTTACAAAACATGAAACCCATAATAAAACAAATTCCAAATTTAGTCTTCTACATGCCCATATTCGAAGTAGGATTACGTCATTCAAAATTCGATGGCTCTATGTACCGTTGTTTTACCACAATGCGAAAAATATACATACAGTTATGCAGATTTTTCATTATTTAATATCAGTTTGAAAAGTGAAACGGACATTTATAGTGAACCAACGCAAAATCGCAGAACAAAAACAATAGTCCTTCAGGGACAAAGCTCCTTTGGACTGAATATTTTATATTCAAGAAGTTTTCTTCAATTAGAACTAAAAATTGTAAAAAGTAAAGATGATAATACTGGAGAGGAAAACGTAACTTTAAATAGTTTGGTAGGATTTATTTAACTATATATCGGAATGAACTACAGCAGGTAAACGTATTGAGCAGCTTCATTATTGATACTATCTTTAATGATTCACTATACTCATGATTATTCGACATCCGAAGGTACAGATATGTTTTTCTATCCTGATATCTCGGATAAACCTAATAAGCGATTTAAAAGGAGCTGATAATGACGCCCTTAAATTATCTGACGTCACAAATAACATAAAATTGAAGGAAGATTTTAATGAAGGAATTTTTAAGAGATGGTCTATTACAAAAAATAGCATTGTAAAAACATGGATTCCTTTAACATATGTATTTTTTTTTCAGAGAATATAAAAAAGCACTTACAAATTTTGAAATTAAACTTGAATTTCAGAGAAATATAAACGCAAATATGATATATATTGACAAAAAGAATAATAGTAGTTGTAAAGTATGTATAACTGATATTAAGTAATTATAAATTTAATAATGATGCAAAGATTATGTTTGAAAACTTTAAAAAAGAGATAGAAATTGAATAGAACCAGTTCAGAATGCTTAAATCCTCTCCACTGCCTTCTTCTGGTACATATAAGATAACATCTACTGCAGATGATATTTTAAGTTTATGTATTCTTGCTCAAGATGTTGAAAGAGAATGTAATGCATCATAAAATAATATGATATTTGATCATTTGTTGTTGTTGTGACTCATCTCACTTGCCGCAAACTATCACCAGAACAAGCCCACATATTGCATCGTGGCAAGCAGTGCAAGAATGCACCTGTTGTTGATTAAGAGTCTTGAGCCCCATACAGGTGACAGTACGACTTTGCTCAGTTCCGCCCCAAATTTTGATGGACAGCACCCCAGCAGACGGGTCTGAGAGTCTCCCACCCCTCTTCCCTTACCAACAACCTCTCGAGCGGACTTTCAGCTCGCCGCATATTTAGAGTGCCCCCAGGTTGCACAGACACTATACATTTACAAACACCCATGCCTTCTTCGGGATTCAAACCTGGGCCCTTCTGTACTGCAGTCAGTGTCGCTAATCACTATTCTTTGATAATTTAGATATGACTGATTGTTATTTAACTGTTAAGGAATTTCGTAATAAAATGGATTTTTCTAAAAATATAATAATAGATTATATTCATCTCTTTTAAAAGCAGGATTAAATATCATCAATTCTGAAACAGGATGTATGATAGAGCTTTTAAAATTTGAAAACTCTATCCTATTTTTTTGTTATGATCCCACTAATGATTAAAGTTATATTTCAGTTAGTGATACTAAAATAAATTTTAATTGGACATTAAGTAATAAACATAAAAAAATCCTGTTTTCGAGTGGCAGAAAAGGTTTCGTGAAGGCAGAGATTCAGTGCAAGACGATCCGAGAGCTGGTCGCCAGTCTATAACACATACCGATGCAAACGTGGAGCATGTAAGGCAGTTATTCAAGATGACGATCGTGTAACTGTACGTATGATATCAGAAGAACTGAATTTGAATCGTGATATGTGTCATAAGATTTTATGCGAAGATTAAGGGAAACAGAAACTTAACGCAAGAATCATCCCTCGCTCACTAGCAGATGAACAGGAAGAGGAAAAATGAAGAATTTCTACAGAACTATTGACCCCACAATTATGTCAAAGATTATTATGATTTTCTCTTGTTTCCATGAGTGAAAAGGTGACTGAAAGGAAAGCTTCATCAAGATTATTGCAGACAATCAATGGGCTGTGACACATGAGCTTGCAAGCATCACAATTGAAGACTTCCCTGCTTGCTTCCAAAACCTCCAGAAACATTGGCAGTTGTATATAGATAGCTAAGGAGACTATTTTATAGCAGCTAGGATCATTATTTGGTAAATGCAATTTTTTTCGACTTTTGTCGTGGAACTTTTCTTGCAAAGGATGTATTTTAAAATTTTTTATTCATCAGAATTTTTTTAGAATTATTCTAATTTGAACTTAACTGAGCAATGTGGGGAGTGGTGCTTAGAAATCAAGGCATCTTCCTTGGTTATATGCTTGGTACTTAGTATTCATGAAAATTAAGATACATTCAATAAATCAAGTAATTCCATAATTAACATTTATTATACAAAAACACTATAAAAATATGAACATCAAAATTCCTTGATATAAAACAGACTGACAGTATTAATCTTGAAAATATATACGTGGACAAATAATCACATTTACAGAACAGATATAGAGAGCATTCCAGATAAATCAGAAGAAAAAACATGTTTTCAATATTATGGATTTTACAAAAGTGTGGCAAAAGTTTATCATACAAATACTGTTAAGTTCCTTTAGGTAAGAAGTTGAAAGCTAAATATTAACAATGGCTATTTATCAAAAAGTAATTAAATTCATAAATATCAAAAATACTTAAATATGACTTCTTTAAATCATACATGACTTTAAAAATTTGATATTTTAATTTCTTCAGTATTCAATGCATTCATTTCTTTTATACTGCAACAGTTCATTTCTTTTATACAAGAGGGATATATATTCTTCTAATAAGCACACTCTTTAGAAATGCAGTTTTGTATAAGAATAAATAAGACTCTCAGTACCCTGTGATAAAAATAATTCACCTAGATAAACGATTACATCACAATGCAAATAAATTCATACCACCAAACATCTGAAATAATTTACATACAAACAAATGACTTCACAACATGACAGAGAAATAAAAGCTTACTATGAAAAAAGAGCTTTTCTCTTATTCTAATTAAAATTCAAATTAAGGGAGGGGAGGCAGAACAAAATATTTTTTACCATTACTTGGAAATAAAAACTGTGAAAAAGGTTTGACACACGTTGCATGTTTATTTACCCAGAATCTTCCTTTAAATGATTTCAATGTTATAAATAAACTACCATATAGACATACACTTAAGGAACACTGAAACTAGCACTCCAAGAAGGAAGAAAGGTACAATTGGCGAAACTTTGCATATAAGTACATTGAGATCAGCTATGCAAATGATCTAAATTTGGTGCCAACATATATGACCACATAACCTGCAGTGGCACTGCAATCAGGAGTTGAGCCCTATATAAATCGGCACATAGATGGAAATTTATAAACATGATGATCCCATTTCGAATTTAGAAAGACTTTAATAAGTGAAGAATGGTAGGTAGACGTGTGAGAAGACATTTCTCAAGCGATTTTGAAAGGGGCGTGATCATCAGCACAAAAACTGGATTGCACAGGTCACCAGGTTGATTTTTCGGAATGTGCCGTCAGAATAGGTTGGCAGCCATGGACAGGAGATGGCACCCACGAGTGGAGAACCAGGTCTGGAGTGATCAGGAAGGTGACTCGGCAAAAAGACTGAAGGATCATGTGGCAAGCGACCGTAGATCGCAGTGACTTGTTCCACAACGCAGTTAGATGTCGGAATGTCAGTTGTTCCCCAAATTATTTCCAGATCCAAGCGCCCTTTTCATATACTGCATTTAACATCAAAAACTCCATCTAAAGCGGCACCAAGTCAGAGTGACATGGAATGCTACAAAATGGCAAAACACGGTGTTTACTGATGAATCCTGGTTTGTTCTACAGATAACTGCGTACCGGTGTGGAAGCGCTCTGGTGAACGGAAGAATTTTACCCACGCTGTTGTGCGAGAGGTCCATTGCCTATACCAGTCCACTCTAATTGTGATATGTATAACTTTAATGGGCCACCTTATGTTAATGTTCGCTATGTTCTTCGACCCCACATGGGGGTCTTTCTTAAATGGTCTTCCAGGGGCAATTTTCAAGCAAGATAATACTTGTTTACATACAGCTTGAGTTGCTCATTCCTTCCTATGTCATGTTCAGACTATTTCATGGTTGGCCCGCTGCTTTATAGAGTATGTGTTGGACCAGCTGTAATTCTGGATGCTGCTGTATCACTCTGTACATGATTTGGAGGTGGTTGTTAAAGGTTTGTGGGCCCATCTGCCTCAGGACAACATTAGATGTCAAATCAATTTAATGCTGGACTATGTTGCAGCATGTATTGCAGCAGGAGACAGTCTGGTGCTCCACTAAAGTTCACTGTGTTTGTCTAGCTGTACAGACTGTATTTGTTTAATTGTCTTGATATTGGGAGCAAAGTTAATTTCTCATCTGTATCATTGTGTGTATTAAATTTCATTTCAGTATGATGCACCCTTCTTGGTTCGCTATTTTCAATATTCTTCAGTATAAAAGGATCACCTAAAACACTTTTCAAAATAATTGAAGAAACATAAAAGTAGGTAAAAGTACAAATATACACTGTATCTTCACCTGGAGGTTTAGCTGTCTGGACTTTCACCAAGATATTACTCAATGAAGACTTCATTTAAAAATATTTTGAAAATTGTAATATAAACAGGGTGGTATGCTGTGAATGCAAAGGAGAAAACTGCATCTGTAAATATAAAAGCTATACTAAATTTTGTGACTCTGTTCAGTAACATTACTTAGTTATTGACTGTAGAATTTTCAATATGTGGATGAATTTATATACACAGTGGACAATTTTTTAAATTTGTTTTTATCTCATCTATTTATTAGCAGCTATTTTCAGGTCCTAATGATTTTCCATGGCATGGGGGACATTAATTTTTGTATTTTTACAATATAAAAAGTGTCTACAAGCTTTATTTCCTTAACTATTAATCTTAGGCAGGCACTTCTAATAAAAAAAGTTTGTTTAAACAGAGAAATTTGTGGGAATAATTTCTGGAAGGGGAGAATGGTTTTGAAAAATGTTCTCTGTAGAGCAGAAGCCTATTTACAAAAATGTTCATTATGCTTAAATTAATTGAATGTAAATAGTTAAAAAACTTTACATGCAAAATTCAGCTTGATATTTGTGACTAAAAATTCTTTTGTATTGAATTTGTTACCGCATAATGAATATTCTTCTGATTGTCTATTTTGTTCTATGGGAGCTAAACTAAAAAGTTAAAAAATATTTTTAAAAACCATTCATCCCTAGTGCCAAAACTGTTCTCGAACTTCCTTCCTTACCTTTTAAAATGCAATTAGCATTACATGCATAGGATCAAGAGTTAAAGAAATAAAGCTAGTACTCACTTCCACCAACATCCTGCATAAGAAAAAATGGTACTTGCATTTCTGTCATCAAGCAACATGATTTTGTGCCAATTATGGAAGCCATGTTTTGTTTTCAAGAATAAGGATATAAATTAACTGTTAATGTTGTATTTTTATTGCATTAAAAAAGATTCAGATTTGGGATCTGCCTTTTAAAGATCAGAAAGCAGTGGATAATTTTCGAAGTTATAGAATCTTACCATAAAAAAGTGTTCATTAATTAAACCATTATTATTAAAAAATTGTGTGTTAGCATGATATGGCCAACTGAATATGGCTGACAAAACAGTAAGAGATTGGAACCATTAATTACAAGAAATCTGTTCTCATAGCATTCTAAACAGAGGTTCTGGCAAAATCGAGCATGGGGGTGGGGAGAGGTAACAAACTACTGGAAACTGATGGATACCTTTTCTATGAAGCACACCGAATACTGTTTATTAAATAAAGAGGCATGAATTCTATTAGAATTCTGCAGCAATAACTGAAGCAAGTTTGGTAGAATCTCTGCCAACTTTCACATTCGACAGAATAATATGCAATTACCAAAAGAAATTGTAACTAAGCACAAAGCTTATATCACAAAATACTCAAAAGTGTTTTCATTAAAGAATTGATTAAACAAATATGCTTTAATAATTACACATGCATGATACCTGAAATATTGTATTCACTGAAGAAACATATACTTCAATGTTTACTAATTGCACTCAATAAACATAAATAGATGAACTAAATAGATAGTAAAAAGATGAAAAATTAATACTCAGAATATGAAACTGGAAGCATATATAATACTTTATCTAACACATTCTAAAAGGTAAACATTGCTTTTGTTACACATATATGAATATGCAACACAGCCTCTCAGAGAATGTGAAGATACTGTGTGATTTTAATCATCCATATAATGTCAGGCTATTTTAGAGAGAAAAAAAAAAAAAAAAAAAAAAAAAAAAGAAAAGAAAAGAAAAACTATTCCTTTTAAAAAATTAAGCATCAACAGATGCTAAAAAATGGAATGTAATATATAGGCATATCAAACATGTTACTAATCTCACTGTGGTATGATAAATAAGTCAGAATATTTATTCTGAAAGAATATGTGCAATTATTGCCATATTTTATACAAAGTCTATAATATATCACACATATAGTAATTTTACTACATGTAAATAGTTCTACTACACTGGTGAGCAAAACTTGATTATAAGAAAAAATGTCATTCTTAGCTTCTTAGAAGGATGAACTTGATATACCATGTCAGAAACCTAATGGCATATCAAAATGCCAACAGAAGTAACATTGACATAACAACAGATATAAAAGACTATAGTATGAATTTTTCAGAAACACTTACAAGGCCTTGTTACTATGACAGGAATGCAAGAGTGTAAAAGAAGTTATGGAAGGAAGAGGTGACCCACAGAAAATTACCATCTTTAAAAACAATGCAGGATTTACACCAGCTTTCGATGTTTCAAATGCAGAAAGTCCTAGCATGTTTATTCATAATTAAAACAGTCAAATATAATCTAATTACCTCTATATTTTGTACAACAATGTTGTTAAGCTGTGGTAATAATTTTGCCATACCATCATTGCCATCCACCAGTGAAGATAATTCCCAATTGGAAATTTTTACAAGGGAAATAAATACACTCAAAAGTGATACAGCCAGACTCTAAATACTGTTCTCAAACTGCAGTATGAAATTTTAGCTAAACAATGGTCAAAGAACTGTTCATGCCAGCATAAACAAGGAAGTGCACTGAGGCAATTTCTAATGGAAAAAGAATGAATGAAGCTTCTGTTTCTGAAGTTATAAGGAGGCAGACCCTTTCATTCTTTTCAAGTGTGCTCTTTACAAATGAGTGCATATGGAACTAGTGACGCCTTTTCCACAAAGACTTTGCTTCTCAGACTTAGGACACCATAGCTAAGCAAGGTATGATTAAAATAATTTGAAATGATAATTAAATTACCATTCAGTGTGAAATCAACTTAAAACATTCCTTAACACCTAGCGAAATTTATATTTAATACTCAATTATCACCCTTGCTACTGCTTAACTACCAACATAAAATAACAAAACTCAACTGGAAGAAGAATTTTTACTGCTAGTCATTTTTAATTTTTTTTTTTTTTACCAAAAATATAAAATTATAATACTAAAATAAAACAAGCTGTTCTCATACAAAATTTATAAAAAGGCCAACATGCTTTGATGCCAATGGTGTCCTCACGTCCACTGATGTGTGAAGCTAGAAGAAACTTTTCCAAGAAACGAGCTTGACCATCTCCTAACACTGAAGGATTCCTAGCCAAAACACATTTCGGTGGAACCTGGGTCCTATCTACCTGTGCAGGACTTCTTGAAACTGAACTTAACATATTTCACTTTAAGCTTTGTCCCTTAAACAATTTCTCCAGAAAAAAACTTTTTTTTTTTTTTTTTCATAAGGCAACCAATCAGACATCACACAAAAAAAAAAAAAAAAAATCTGGGGAATGTTTCTTTTGGCACACTGTTGACGGTAAATCGTAGATGTGACACCAGTTTAAGATTTCAATATTTACAACAGCCTAAATCAAACATACAAATACTTAGGGTTAAACGGATACACATGCAACTTAAACAATTTATCAAGTACAGCCTATACCTTTCAGATGTTTGTTCACAATTACCACAGGCGATCTAACAGGAAAGATGGCGGATACACAGTGGAAGCTCTACTAGGTTCATGCTTAAAATTAACATCCTACATTTAAACTATGCTACTCGCCATTCAATCTGTCTGAGAAAGTTCTGTGACAAAATAAAAAGATGAGTATCAAATTACATTTAAAACTGTTCGTAAACTGTTAGTAAAGTCAGAACATGAACTTCATGAAAACTGAGCCCTTGCTCCAAATTTTGGAACTTGTGAAATAAAGTGAAAATTTATTTCATAACCTATAGTTGAAATGGGTGGAATTTGGGAGGATATGTATGTTACAGCCTGGCGGCACATTGGCTAGCGCATCGTGCAGCAGCACCTCAGGTCCGGGGTTTGATCCGCAGGCTGGGCAAGGTGACTCACTCTTTCATCCCTTGAGTGGGTGGATAAAATGAGTACCAAGTTCGCTTGGGGTCTAAACACCTGGGGGGGAAGCCTGCAACAAGCTGACCACTTGTTCAAGACATATGCTAATGCACTCCCGGGCCCATGGTCAAGAAAGCAGATTTCTGGGCACTGCAGGCCTTGGCCCACTAGGGCTGTTGCAACACTGAGTTTAGTTTAGTATGTATGTTACAAATCACGAACAACTATTTTGATATCTTCTTGGAAATATGTCTTTAAAATCGAGATGAACTGCCTTTTTTGTTCTTGTGAAACTATAAAAATTATATGTAATAATAGATATATTAGCCAGGGGAAAAACAAGACACCAAGGATTAATAAAGCTTGACAAATGACTAAAAAAGAAACTTATCTGATCTATGGTAAATGTCATGGAGTTTAACAAAGATAATAATGGAACTATGTGTTACCAGTCTTAAAATGTCAAAAGGAGATTTTCTATAACTAGCTCAAGAGTTATATGCTAGCACTGTTGTTCTGCCCTGCTGAAGCTGTCAACAATTATACATTTTATATTGTTGCTCAGAACATACACACAGCTTCATATCAGACTAATACGACAAACTATGATCACTAAAAGCTGTTGGAACCTGACTGCCAATTGAATTTAGAGAAATTTAAACTCATTATATGCATTATAATTTACATTTTCTGTCATATGATTTGAGATTTATGGAGCATGCAATCTGATATCAGTTTAATGTATGCATGTGAAGTTACTTTGTAACTTATCACGATGTTTACTGTTTTATGTTATATCAATATTTATGTCAGTATTATATGGACTGTTAATGTTTGAAGATATACGAAGTTTATTTAGTAGTAATTCTAAATCTAAGAATTAGTTACAATTTTTAATTAAAGAAATTTACAGCTTATCAAAACTAAGCAACTGGTATAAGTATTTTGATTAAAGGAAACCAGGCTTATGTACACGTTACACATGGGGGAAAACCATGAAAATTGAGACATGACCCCAGACCTAACTACCAGCATTCAGCGACTCAGCCACTGGTGAGCCCTAAGCACTTGGAGAAATTCAGTTGTTCTTAATTAAATTAAATATTACTTTATATTCATTTTGAATAGCAAAAATGATTTTCATTTTCAAGGAAGCTCCTTCCCCTAGATTGCAGTATTACAAGAATATCATAAAATGTGAGGATAATATTATGCAAATGTTGAATCTTTAGAAGCTGCATACTATACATAAAACAATGGCTGTGATGCTGGAGGTCTGTACACAAATCTGAACCAATGGTATTTAAACTGCACAAAAATTGAATTCCTTTGGAAAATCTCCCTCAAGTTCTGATATGATATAATGTTCAAACTTCCTGTCAAATTAGTTGATGTCCAAAATCCTTGATATGATGAGAAGTTTGAACATGGTGTAGCATTAAAACATTTTTGAATGTATGACTTAAACTACTCTCACAAGAAACAGTACTAGTATTCAGTCCTAATGTCCTCAGCACCACTATAAACCAAATCCCTAATGGGCAGCTGATAATGGGGGCACAACATACTTATTGAGCAAAAAATAAATCTTCATATAATTATCTTCATATATCTATCTGCTCTCTGTTTTTATCTGTGGCATTTACCTGCAGGAGCAGAAAACTACCTTGACATGAAATCAGTTTTGGTGAATAACAACTACTTAGTTTTTTACACAGCTATTCCAATTTTTCAGACAGTTGCTCACATATCCAGGAATGTTATGAAAGCAATCAAACACTTTGGATCCATCAGTCATACATACTTCTCCAGTTATGCCCTAATTGTTCAATCATTCATGAAATTATCAGTCTGTTTATAATGGCTCACTTCACTATGTAAGAAAACCAGTTTGAAGTTACATAAACTATAAATCACACTTAACTGTTATACATGCACTGCTGCTCCTCTTCCCAGGCAATTCAGTTTTTTTTTTTTTAAATTATTATTTTCTTCAAGTTTTGATGCTGCTTTATACAGTATTAGGTTATAGTTGCTAGTTTATTAAATTCTGCTCACCAGTGTTGGGGATAAACAAACAAACCTATTCGATTAAATAAAAAAGAAAGTGTTCAGAGATTTGCAGAATACAAAATACAATTTAGCTACAATAACTGTCTTCCCACACAGTTGAGCTTTGGAAAGGAAGTATAAAATTTTTTTAAAAAATGACTAATTAAAACTGGATATCAATTTCAAATTATGCATTCTGACAGTTTCAAAGTTTTCAAGTTCAAATGCTTAATGAATGTTTAACTAGCTAGTAAGTATTTCAAAATAAAGAGAATATGAATTTTTTCATGACCCCCCTTATACTACATTTGCAAGACCAATATTTTCAACCAGTCTTCCCCAGACAATTTCAATTTGGGGATGAGAGGAGGTTAATTTAATTGTCTGAGATGATGCATTGAAACACTATCAGAATATATTTCCAAACATTTTTTACTTTAGAGTTCTTAGTTCCCATATCATATTTTTTTGAAAGATACAGTAAATTCTGTTCTTAAATTTTAGAAAATTCTGTGATTATTAACAATGCTTTCAAGAATAGTTGGACTCCTGCTTTGAAGATCACCCATGATTTCTAATAAACATGTTCTTCAATATTTAGGCTACTTAAATTGCTGCCTGTTGGTATTTGGATTAATCAAAATCAGACTTTTATTCCTACATACACAACCTGAAATAAAATAATATATAAGTTAATAATTAATAACAATAACAAATTTAACAAAAGAATTATCATACAGTTAAAAAATTCAACTAAGGTATAAATAGCTATCAAAGCCTTATGGCATCTTCCAGAGAGATTCCTAAATGGACAAGAGTAAAATTTTATAATGTTTACACAAGGGAAAACTGTTTTGCACAAAAGACTTTAATTGAAGGTAATGATTTAATTTATCTGCCACAAATAATTAAATAACGCATAACACCACATTAGCTGAGCCACATATTTTACTCTTCCAGCAATCCAAAATGCAAAATCCATGAAGAATAAGAGATATTATAGCTACATTTACCAGTCAAATAGTGCAAGGTACAATGGTGAATTGATTAAAACAACAATTATGTTTCACTTTCAAAGTAAGACAAAATCAATAGTTTGTATACCTGCAATGGCTGGTAATAATTGCTAAAATCTTAGCATTTAAAGAAAAGGTTTGAAATAAGTGCTTAGTGTATGCCTATCCATGATGTTTCCACAAACTGCCAAAGTTCAAGACGAACAATGGAGACTTGTTGAATGCTGTATGCCATAGGTGATCATACACTGTCTTACTGAAACTTGCCCAATGGCAAACGTCAAGGGAAATGAAGGACAACAAACCTCAAAACTTAAAGGGTATAGATGTGGCTGTTGAGTGTACTGGTAATGCATATTATGCAAAGTGGAGGATCAAAATCAAATGGCACCTTAACTCTTTCGCATCGAAGTCACCCAAAACACATAACCATTAAGACATCGGCAGGTCGCCTGAACACCTGAATTATTTTTTACCTGGTGCTTTCCCCCATCATAGATCGCTCAGAGTGTTAAATGACATGTCAATCATTCTTTTGAAGTGACTAAAAGTAGTTCTATTATATGAACTGACTTTCCTCCTCCTCTGTGTAGCATCAATGTTTAGGTTATTGATGCTCATAGTTCCAATCCTATCCCAAGGGGAAACTGCTCACAGAGGTGAAAGTGTATGAACATTTACTTAAGTAGGTTATTGTTAGCAATTTAGCATTTTACTTGGCATGGGGGAAGGAAATCCAACAAAAATACATATATATATGGGCATTTCAGTTGTTTGAGAGGAACAGGTTTTGGCCTCTACTGATGCAAAAGAGTTAAGTTGTCAACTCTAGTTAATGTATCAGTATGGCAATGCATATTGCAAGGGCCACTATGTCCAGTCATTGTTGCGCTGCCAGACTTGGAAATGACCATCATAATATTGCAGGCAAAATCTGAATGGTCATCTGAAGAAACAATGTTGTGCCACTTTTTTGTGCATGTCTTATATTCAATGCACCATTGCAGCTACATACATCTGTGGTTAAGATTAAGCAGTGATTGCAGCAATGGACACATTGTAAAGATTCCTCTCTCCCATGCAGACAGTGTTGAATGGTACACGCTCATAAGATCGTTATAAAATCACAAGATTGTTAGATCCAAGTTTCTGATGTTATTGTGCAGTCCATCATGCCTATGTATACAGTCCATCATGCCTATGTATACAACATGCCTGTCCACTTGATAAGTGATATGACGAGACTAATGCAATCATTCTCATCATTCCGTCATTTTTTTCTACACCCACTGATTCCATACTTGCATCCCTGTGGCTTGATTTTATCCAAAATGAACATAAGTTTCTTGGAAGGGTGATCAGTACCTTAAAGCCATAATATTTCTTCTGTCAAACCTAGAAACTTATTCAAATGACTACCATTTTCTTCAACAAAATTATCCAGGAAATATACACCATTCTACTGCTTAATATAGCCCACACTTTTCCCATTTTATAGTGTTTGTAGGTTGTGTTACTGCATATGATTTGCATGTGCAACACAAAGCTAATCATTTGAATATTTTATTGAGATGCATGATGCATGGTAAAAATTTCAAGCCTATTGGATTTTTTCTTTATGGTACTGCATTTTACATGGTCAGCAATGTAATTAATTCAATCATACATATATTTATGGACAACCACAAGAAAGGTGAAAAAACAAATGTGATAGAAACTTTAAACTTTCCTACAAAATTCAATTTTTTGTTTTAACAGAAATTTATATATTTATGCAAAAAAAAAAAAAAAAAAAAAAAAGGGGGGGGGGGACTTCTAAATTTAGAATGGAGGGATCAGTGTAGAATAATTAATTTCACACCATTATTAAAAGAGAGGAAAAAATCAGATATTTAGTTTAACACAGATCTGAATAAATTTATGAGGATTAAAAATGGGGCAAAAAATAGTTTAGTACTCATCTGACACCACATTAGTGCAAATATAAGATGGCTTCATATTTATGCAGACCCTAAATTTCTGATACAGCTTTTAAGCTGAATGTTTCAATAAAAAAGTGCCAAATGCTACTCACCCTGACAAAAATATGCCAAGGAAAGTACACAGAACTTAGTACCATTTATGAAGCAACTAAAATATAATACATCTTTACTGTTTCACCTAATTAAAATTACATTTACTTTTTTTTAACAGTAGTGCATTTACTTCTAGTTAAATAAATGTAATTACAAAGAATATATTCAAATTTCATGTTCGAATAATTTGTTCAATTTTAATTTTCATATGCTTCATAGAGAGCAAAAAATTGCTCTCAAATCTACGTGTTTTCAAGAAGAGATATCATAACAGATGGGAATAACTGTTAAGCACAGGTCACTTTTTTTTGATTAAGTACAGTTTATAAAAGCCTATTCATTAAAGTTTGCTTTGTGTATCTGAATACAACTTTAGACACTTTGTTATCAAGTCTACAGATAAGTCTAATTTCAACACAGAATGGACTTGCAAGTACAGTAGAAAGTTCGAGATCTGGACTCATCGGGACTTCAGTAATTCCGGATTGGGCATTTTTCTAAATATTAAATTATGAGTTTAAATGTCGTAAGAAGACATGTAGAAATTATAAATTAAAAATATAAAATGGTGATTAATGAAATAATGAAGCATTTATGAACTTAATCTAAATTTACAACAAAAAAGCTACATAGTTATCTGTTTGCTTTAAGCATTTGCTATCAAACATTTCTTTGAATGTCAGTTGTTTAATTTGCTTCATTTTTTGTGCTAATACTTCGTTTTACTTCTGCAGGCAAACATAATTTCCTATTCATTTACAAAATTGTTCATTTACAAAGTTCCATTGTTGAAGTCTTGTAATTGCTGCATTGAGAATTCCCACTAAATTGTCAATCGAAATTTTTTCATTTCGACAATCTGTGTCACTTTCTTCATTATCGATAGTGATACTTTCTGGGTTTAGAACCATACTACAGATTTTGCCATTCGCTAGTTGATTGATGATTGGAAGCATTATCATTGCAAAGAAAAACATCTGGTATATGATCTTTATTTATTTCCACTTTTAAACATTTCTTGAAAAATTATATTAATTGGAAAATTTTGATTTTTGTGATACTCAAATGTCTTCATATTCACAGCAGTCACCATACAGCTTAGCTAGTGTCCACTATACACTATTGACAATGTATCATGAGACTGGTGATTAAAGATATGTTGTTCTGTTGAATTTTGTCTTGCTTTTATCGCACACTGAGAAAAGCCTGAATTACATTAGTTATATATTACACTTATATCTATTTCCCACACATGCTCAAGGTTTAGTTGAGTCCTGCATAAATAAATTTCCACATATACTTAATGCTTATCCAGAGCTGGCACAAGACATTTTATGACCCACTGCAATTTGCCTATTTAAAATTCTGCTGCCAAATAAAATTTGCTGGCCTAAATTACAAAATCTTATTTTTGCATGTGGAAAGAAGTTTCTGTAAAATTTCTCCTTGTCAACATATTCAACATTCAGCAGTGGAGTTAGCTACAGTCTGAAATGACTGCCAAATGTAATGTCAACATAAAAGTTTACTATGCTCTTTGGTATTTAATTATTAATATTAAAAAAATGTTCAGACTTTGCTGCTTGACTCATGCTCAAGCTACCATGTATTGATAGCCATGCAGTGATGAAAGCAAAAAATAATAAATAAAAATTTGCTAAGTTAGCATTAGTATTGCAGTGAAATGAAGAAACATGACTGTATGGTTTATTATGAAAAAATATCAAATACACAAGCCAAAAGCCCAAAAGAAATTCTGGGAAAAAAAAAGGTAAAAAGGCTGCTGGTGATACAGAGGTCTGGATTTTAGATCATTCTGGATACTGGACATCCTGATTTAAGACTTTGTACTATATATTGAAATGAAATGTGTTCTTTTTTATTATGAAATCCATTCTCATAGTCACCTGATAAAATGGTAATCAAGGCCACATATTTTTTTGCTTTTCACATGAATCTGTCCAGCCAGAATTCCAAGTGTTGCTCTTAATATGAAATTGCCACATACTCAGTTTAATTTCAATTGTTGTCATCTTTTGAAATATCACTTATTAATTGGTTTTGGCATTAAAATTGCACTTCAGTTTATTTAGGTAAGCAGTTGTATCCAGTAAAACACTACCACCTTCTTATTTTAAGTTCAGTGACCCTTTCATTCATTTTTAGCTATACAATGTAACCCACATCAACTAGCTCAAAGACCTCCCTGCAGCCTATGGAATGGACATGACTCATCTACGAAGTTTCTTTTTTCTTGAGAGTTAAGATACAAATGATACATTTTGTTAACATATGCAGTGCTGTCCAGTGATTAAAATCACTTCCATTCCAAACATATTTCAATTCATTAAGCAACTGAGTTTAATAGACAGCAATTTGTGCACTGCTAATCATAGTATTAGTTTAAAATTTTTTGAATAAAGTAATAACTAACAACTAATTCAATAACTGATCCTAATCTAATAATTAAAAATTAATGCTAAAATTAAAGTATTTATGCAAATTTGAAATTCATTTTTAAAATTTTTTTCTAAAAATGTTTTGTAATTATTTTATTGATGGAATTTTATTTTTTTCAA